CTGAAGCAGGAAACGGTTGTTCCCAGGCACCAGGTTGTGTTTTCAGTGCTGGCACATAGAAAAATCGTTTCACTTGAGAGCTAATCACATCTGACTAGTTCTCTAGCTATAGCTAGAGAACAAACGGGGACAGAAAGCATCCAAATGCCCTTGTCAGCAGTGTTGTTTCTCTGTCCATAACCACATTACAAATGCATTAAAATAATGCCTTAACACTGGATTCAGGGTTGTCTGGTTTCATTTGTATTTTCAGTGCAGTAAGGGGAGGAGGTGGGTAGTGTTAAATGATTTTCCACGCAGTTTGAATTGAATGTGAATAACTTAATTTGGTGGGAAACCAGAGTTCAGCAAGTTGAATGGCAGTAAATGTTGTGTCTTCAAAAGGGTAAAATCATATATACGGCCAAAATTGAGGAAATCCTGTAGTGCTAATGATAATAGTTTGCTCTCTGTATGTGCTCTTTTAAGTATTTTAAATCAAAGGAGAAACGGTAAGTGACGGTAAGTGAAGTCGGGTAGAATTACAATAGCAATGTTTCTGAATTCACGTAAGTTTTATATGAGTTGTGCAGCTTATTCCTGGCTGACAGATTCTTTGGTGTGGGGTCAGATAGTCCACTAGGAAGTATAGTTCTGCTCATTCTTTATTCTGACTCGGTACATGCATGTTAGCTGACAGGCTTTTATTTATCTGCATTGGTTAAAATCCTGTTTCAGTTTTTAGGGGATTTAGATTGATCAGGGGGACATTCTCACTTTTAAAAAAATTCTCTAGTTTGTAAAAATGTTCAAGTATTCTCTGCAAATTTAAGCTTTTATGTTTGTAGTGGTGTTTTGGAAAGAAATTGTGAACTACAGTAATAAAAGGGTGAAGCTGACGTGTTACAAATGTGATGCATCATTTCTTTTTAGACTTGGGGCAGACACAGGGTGGTTATTCAGACATGCAGAGGTGTAGCTGAATATTAGTTTGTGGAGATAAATGTGCTGAAAATGTTCAAGTGTGTGATCTCATGATCTGTACACATGATCACTGCAACATTCATGGATTTCAGTTGCAGAGTTTTGGTGACTGAAAAAAACTCACGGTTAAGATTATCTATGTACAAAAAGCCTGATTTCAAAATCCTCACAACTCCCACAGCTTAGCCCCATTGAACTTTCATTATATAAAAGGGTGGAGTAACCAAAAATGTATCATAAAAAATTCTGTTTCCATTATAGAGGAAATATAAATTTGTCTGGTTTTAAAAGCATGGTTATAGAAATCAGGTTATGATTTTGAATAATCACAGTGGTCATAATGAAGATGCTTTCTGTACATTCTTAAATTTCTAGTGAGAATCCAAGAGAGCTAACTAGTGAGGAGTTTTTCCAGGAAAATAAATTCCAGGCTTAAAGCTACCTCCATAGAAGCACACTTCCTCGCTTCTAAACTCACATTTCTATGTTGAAATTATCTAGTGGATAAATCACTTGGTTGCCATGGTAGTCCTGAAAATGAGCAGAACTTGTTTTTCCTCTTTTAACATTTGTTCTGTTTTCATGCAGGTCCTCATGCCGAAACCGCCAGTGGATGCCAGAACTTGCAGTGTGGTTTTCGGGCCTGCTGCCGCTCTGGCGAATGACCCCTGACTTCTGATCTTTCAGTCTACTTCATTTAGCTGAGCAGGCTTCCTCTCATGCACTTTACTTCCAGTCCACATCTTGTGTTAACAATTCTTTCTGGAGTGCGATTTGTTATACTGGTCCCTCCTTCCCCACAGCTTTACAATCTTGATCCTGAGTGTCCTGTACAGTGTTGTACCGATCTCACAGAATCTCATTTGGTTTGAAAGGTGGTGGGTTTTATTTTACTTAATTTGAGGGAGATGGGAAAAGCATCAGATTTTTTTTTTTATGCCACTTTTTTCAGGTTTGGCACTTAAATATACTTTTATTGGATTTTTTATGTTGAGTGGAAGTTAAGCTCTCTTTCTCTCTGTCTCTCTCTCTAACCCACAATTAGAACATAAAGCTTTGCAAATAATTTGAAATATACTTTTTGTTATTTGGGTAACAATACACATCTTTAGAAGTGTTGTTTCTCCCTCTTTCCTCTGACCCCTAAAGTCCTTCCTTATGCTGCAAAATTAGGGAAGGGCCAATCTTTCCTATAGCACTGATTTTTGTATTTGGGCTTGAGAAATTATATTCAAATAAAACATTCCCATCAACACAACAGGTTTACTTAGCACTCAAAATCAGTATAATTCTAAGGTGTAATGACACAATGTACAGTGCTGTATGACTCCACAAGTCATTTGTGTATGTATGGTAGCTCCAGAGCAGCCCCGGGGGATCTGCACTGTCTCTTCTTATAAAATCTGTTAAGATGCTAAATTTTTGAAAGGGAGTTTCAAAGCGTTACGTTTTCAACCATATGAACAAATGTACCAATCAATAAACATGTCTTTGAGGACTTAACCAATGATGAATAATCAATTTTGATCGGAACATGGGAGTACTTGTGGCCGCGTGTAATTTGGAGTGGAGATTGGAAAAAAATCTGCTGTTAGAAACAGCACCTTGCATGTTCTTCCTTACCATCCTAGTCTCAGTACAACTGCAAGTTGGCAGAATTCTTCGCAAGAGCCCATTAGGAAGCATATATTCAGGAAACTCTGGCTCCTTATTTTGACATTACTCATTGATCTTTGATTCCCCATTGATTGGATAAACATGTGAAAGGGCTGTTGCCGTGATGTATCAAGCTTGCACGTTTCTCAGATCTCCACTTTCCCTAGGCTAGTGCTCTGACCTGGAAACTATCAGGTAAAAGGTAGGTGATGGCTTTAGTATTGAATTATGCCTCTGGCCTTGGGCAAGGCAAGGATGCCTTGTTTGTGACTCTTGATAAGGCACAGGTATGAGCTAGCTGTCAACCTGCTCAGTATAATCAGGATGCTGGCATTTAGGTACCTACAGAACTCTTATTCGCGAAAGGCAGAGGTAACGGTTAGTGGCTACTGAGTGGAAGGTTGGAGGGTTTAAATTTTTTGACTGAGGTGTTGAAGCCCTTCTGTCAGGTTGGCCAAGTGTACCTTTGCCAGACTTGCAGCACCGTATCACATGCTGACAACATGGAAAAGTCATAAACAAGGAAAGAGAAACCCCTTAGAGCAAAAGTCTGCAAGTGTTTGGAGGGCAGCTCTGGCGATACTGCACACCAATGGTCAGGGCTGGTGTTTTAGCTATTAGGTGTGACTTGATGTAGCCACACAGTGCTGTGGATGGGACACTGGAGGGAGTCAAGGAATTTTTGCTTCTATTCCAGTATCGACTACTGACCTGCTTTGTGGTCTCAGGTAAGTTACTTTGCTTTGCTTCTGTTTCTTCTTACTGCCCATTACTTAACTTGCACATTTTAAACTAAATTATTTTAGGCAGGGATTGTCCAGTGTTTACTTTTTGTAAAGTGCCTAGTACACTAGGGCATGCATTGCAGTTGAAATCTCTATGCTGTGGTAGAACTGATAACAAATGGACAGGGAAGTTTTCTGACAGTAGGAGCTACTGCAACATCTTGCTGGGGCCATCTGATCCCAGCAGTCTTTCCTGCCCAGGTGCATGATGGCTGGACCCAATGACTTGTAAGTTTCTTTCCAGCCCCTAAAAAACTATGAACCTATTTCACTCCAGGAAAATGATGGATGATCCATTGCTTGGTACATTTATAACTACACTGTCAAAATACCCTAATCTTCAATAGCTGGATTACTCCGTAATTTTCCATTTGGGGGATTTATTGTATCTCTCTAAAGTATCTAAGTGTTACGCTGCTTTGTAATTCCTAACATGTAAGGAAACATTTTATGTTGGTAGATGAACTAGCAGATTCCTCTTCAGAGTATGGCTTGCAAACAGAAGTGTGTTAGGCTAACACAGAAAACAAGAGCAGTGACAATGTAACAGCCTGGTCTGAGTCAGAATATTTCCTGATGGTCCCTACAGGTCTCCTATTGGTTGCAAGCCTCTGCCCATAGGCCTGTTCCCATTACAGTTGTACCTTCATTATACTGGACAGACATTCCCTTAGGGTGCAGACTTGCACATTTTCACCTGTGCTCTGTCTGTACACTGAAATTGCTACCAGTTCAGGAGTAAACAGCACCACTTAAGTTGCACGAGTGAGTCAGTTCTGTGTCCACAGCTTTAAGCATAGCCATTTGCTTAATGAAAATACGCTATTACTGATTCCCCTGAGAACTAGTGGTGAGGTGTTGTAATAGGACCAGGTGCAGGCAGCTGTTTCTGGAAAGTTGGTTGTCTGTCTGCTCTGCACGTTGGCTTGTGCACTCTACTGTAAGTTACCCCAGTTTAAAGGTGTGTGTCCATACCCTTAGATTCCTTGATATTTTCACTGTTAGCTTCTGTGCTGCCCTGGCTCGTCCTTCATGACACCTTTGTCCCCGAGTCAGTTTATGGTTCTATATGGGCTCCCTTTAATCTCTAGGTTCAATTGTCTGTAGTTCAGTACAGCTGCTTGAGGTGCAGCAGAAATATTTTAAATCTAGAGTTTGTTATGGAAATGAGTCTTATAATGGTGGTGAAAGAATTTAGATGAACAAGACCCTAAAATGATGATCTAGGTTTTGCTAAACCATTTTGTAATAACTTTACCTTTTTTAAATTATAGTCTTGTAGCTTTCAATGGATATATTTTCTCATCGTTAAACAACTATTAAAATCAAAGGAACTTTTATACAAATGAGACACTTGATACAAATGGCTTTTGTGATAAAATATACTTACTTTTTTAGGTTAAAAGTACATAAAATAGTTAAACAGAGAAAGTAAAACTATATAAATACATATAAATAGTAAAATATGTTTCACATATACAAATTAATATATATCCAGACAACCTCAGAGTCCTAATAGAACAGATACCATTGGTTCTGGTCTTAAAAGAAAAATTCACCAAAGCCTGAGAAGGATGTCTCTGGTTTCCATTTTTGTGTGAAAGATGCCACAGTTGTGTTCTCATCAGTGGCTTCTCGTTGTGTGTGAAGCTGTTCAACATGTGCCTTGCCAGTCTGCTGAAATAATGTGTGAGAAGGGTCTGTCCTTTCATTAAAAACTTGTGTAAACTCAAAATATCTCCACTGAAGTTGAGTCATTCAAGTGCAAGAAGAGAATTGGGCCCCAAATGTTCATTAGTATCTTAACTGAAAAATAATCTAATTGGAGATCAGTTTTGGAGCCACTGAGGCAGAATCCCTGGGGAAGCAAAGCTTTAGCTTTAATTTTTACTAGCCATACTTCTTCACTAATCATCTCTTTTTTGTTGAGGCCTAGATAGAAGGCCAGAAGGTAGAAGGAAGGGGTTAAAAATTATGTCTATATTGGCATTTTTGGGGAGAAATCTTACACCATAGCAGCAGCTCTCACAGTAACAGGGTTAGGACAAAGTAGTGTAGAAAACTTTCCAGGGGTTATTGGCATTTTAAGCCTCTGTACCATCTAGGTTTCCTTGGTCTTTGCAACTTACTCTCACAGGTATACACAAACTAAAGAATGCATTTTTACTGTACTGGGGGGAAGGGGAGAGAAGGACCCCTCCAAAACTGCACAAATGGAAAGAAGTGATTATTTTAAGTACTACTTCATATAATGATTTTTTACACTAAAGCTTTTCTTTGGTGGGGCTGATACCTTTTAGCTGTGATTTTATTCTGCTTTAACTTCCTGTTATCTATTACGCACAAGTGAAGCAATGTAAATCCACACAGAGAGAACATTTTTTGGATAACCATGGACATAAACAGCAAGAGCAAATTCCACATTTGAAACATCAATGTTGTGAACTCCAGTACTGTGTACAGCTTCTATTAAAGGTCTCACTTCAGAATATGGCATATGAATGGGAAATCCTGAGACCTAGGAACAAGAAAAAGGAAACATTATTAATGCTTCTGGGAGGGGTGTGGATTGCTGTGTTCTATTCTAAATATGATTTACAGTTTGGAGAGGGAAAGAAAGTAAAAGCAGCAATAGTAATGATTTTTTTAAGTCTAATTTTGTTTATAAATGTAAGTTAAGAAGAGAGCTTAGCAGAGGCAGAATAAGGCCACAAACCACAAAAACAGAACACTCATGAATCTGTTCCTATCTGACTCCAGCACAAAGCAAATGCTGGTTAATACACAACCTTCCTGTTGTTATTCAGCCTCATGACCTTGATCAATTAAATTGCTGTCAGCCTGTGGCCCTACTTCAACTCAGACCAACCACCTACCTCTTTTGGACCCAGTCCATTCTTGATGATGTCCTACTATGGACTTAAGGTTAGATCCACAAAAGGATTAAGAGTACCTTGAGCCCAAATCCTCATGCTGAAGATGCTTCCTTTGACAACACTGAAGAATGCATTTTCATTATACTGGGGGAGGGAGGACTCCCTAAACAGTATCTAATTTTTTTATTACTTGATGTGTCCAAAAGGCCTCAGCCATGACACTGTTGCATTTAAATCTCATCAGGATCCAAAAGTAGAACAGGGGTTCCCAAAGCACATCTAACAAATATCAACATGCAGCTGCAGATGGAGAGAGCCACCTGATAGCTGAATATTTATTTAATATGCATTAGTATGATACTGAGTACAACAAACACTGGAACCCCCCTGGCCTGCCCTCTACACACAGATGAGTACTGTTAGTATTAGGATACAGTATCATTTTAATTTTCTCTGGTGCTCAGAGCCTGATTTTTTAGTCAGTGGTACAGCTTCAATGGCAGTTGTGAATTGCTTGAGGATCCAGGATGAGATGCTGCATTATAAACACCTGCTCTAAGGTGCAAGAAATATAAAGTAACAGATCTATTAAGTAGGTAGATAAAACAGGTATAGAACAATAGGGCTACAACAGGCAAATAAGGAAAGAGATGGTAAGGCACTCTTCAAGCAGGAATCAAAAAGTATCTAGATTGCATCAGTTTAGTACTAATGGGGTATTTTAACCTCTCTGCCATCAGAAAGAAAACAAAAGCATAAGGGCTCAGTACTGTTTCACTACTAAGAAGTCCCTAGACTTAGCTTGTCTGTCTGTCACAAGCTAAGACTACCACACTAGGGCATGATCCTATTTTGCCTATGGTGGCACACAGCATGCTTTAATAGACGGCACTTATGCACCTCCAAAAACACCGAGCTGCATTGTCTTAATGGGGGCTTTACTATAGTCTACACTACATCCATCATACTGCAAATCAGCATGATCCAAGAGGTATCCTTCTTATTCAGATTCAGGACCCAAGTGGGAAGATAGTGCACCAAAAAGTGAAGTCAGTATCCCCATTTGTTTGGTAAATGTCTCCTCCTACTATAGGCAGTCCTCGACTTACTACGTTTCACGTTAAAACGTTTCGCACTTACAACATCTATAAACTGACACTGTTTCAACTTTCTGATGTCAGTTTTGACTTTACAACACTTGATCCAATGCGATGCTATGCCAGTGAACAAATTTGCTGCGCCACCTGTCTCCCTGGAGAACATCTGTTCAAATTTCCTTGGACACTTTCTTTAAGAAAGCAGACAAGACTCCAGAAAAACCTGCAGCCAAGACTCCTGAGAAAACTCCAGCCAAGAGCCCTTCAAAAAGTCCAGCAAACTCACCTCAAAGAAGTCCTTCCAAATAAATATGATTGCTATTTAGAATATAAATACATTAATGTAGCTATATTACTCATCTATAACTGATTGAGCACAAAATTGTGGTGTATTTTTGGTGAAAATAAGGTATTGGGCCTTGGTTCAGGAACCAATCCCCTATTTATAACATTGTTTCTTATGAGAAAATTGGTTCCGAGTTACAAAGTTTCGACTTATGACAATTGGTTCCTGAAAAATGGGTCTTAAGTCCAAGGACTGCCCGTATGTCCTAGGCTTAAAGCATGGCCAGTGGGAAATTTAGGGCATTTATATATGTGCTCCAGGAGGTGTGTGGATCAGGGGTGGGGCATGTTAATTAGTGCAGCTCTGAGAGGGACATTAATTAAATATGCCTGGAGCATCACATGTATCAGAGCCCCTATGCTGAAAAATAGAGGTGAGATGCTTTGAACTAAAGCTCACTGAATGAGCTTTAAAGCACCCTGCTGCCATTTTTCAGCACGGGGACACTGATACACATGACACTAGACCACACTAATTTCCACACTCCAGCAGACTCGATTAATCAACGAAGCGTTGGAATTATAGTGTGTCAGAGCAGGCTCCCTGTATGTGTATAGGAGCCCCTAAATCCTAGGACTGGCTCATGGCTGAGCTGAATTAAACAGCACCTTTTTGCCTTGCTGTTGCAGCTGGGCAGCCAAGAGGAAAAGATTCATGGAACCAGAAGGAAAGCAAGCAAAAGGAAGTATGTCTTATCTAGTTGCCCTGGAAGAGAGCTAAGCCTTAAGTTCTAGCCCCTGTTCTCAATGGTGTTTATGCATTTTATCTAGTGACTATTTAAAGTATAAATACAGAAGATGGGCTATGAGCCAGCAGTTTTAAGTACAGAAAAAGCAGACTTGGACTTCAAGAAAAACTGTCTACTTGTAAAAGCAAGAGGACAATGCATAAGCTGCAGAGTTAGGGAAGATATGGAATTTTCTTTGCTGGAGGTTTGTAAGAGGCTGGATAGGCATCTGTCTCAGATGGTTCAGAAACAGCTTATCCTGTGCCAGTGCAGAGGCCTGGCCTAGATGATTTGGGTTTCTTCCAATCCTATGGTTCTCCGATTCCAGCAGACTGGGTATGTTGAGAGAGAGGCTTCTAGTACCTAACTCAGTGCTGTGCAGCCCAGTCACCTAAAAACTAGGTATGACAAGGCTGGGAATTGTGACAAAATCCTTTTGCAGATCTAGCCACTAAAATTTGTGACCCTGAGCTCTAGAATGATGGAAGGGTCAATTTCTTATTAAATGTGTCTTCACAATAGTGGCCAATTAGGTAGCAGGGAAGGTACAGTACAACAGCAAAAATAACTATGAATGGATGCAAATAATAGAGTACGCATTTCCAGTTAACTGGAAGCAAGCACTAACCAGAAATCTGCATTGGACCAGGCCAGTCTCAAACTGAATGTGTATTTTGTCTGGGTATAAATGTGGATGGGTGATAAGCAGTTAGGACAGGTCCTTTCCTCCACTGCAGAGAACACTTAGATATGATGGATCTGAAGTGAGAGGAGAAAAGCAGACTGCAGCATTTATCTCACTTCCAGGTGCTCTACAGAAATTAATTTTCTATCTGGGGAGAGAGCAAAGGTCCACTGTGGCCCTGGAAGTTTCCTAGAATCCCAGGAGCACAGAATTGCCCATACTTTCTTGGCTTTCTTGGTTGGTGTTTTGCTGATTTCGGAAGCATTAACCACTGGCTGATGTTGACAGTAGATGCTGGCCTTTGATCATTAGCCTGACTGTACAGCTGCTGCTAAGAAGTTCCACTTTACTAACTGAAAGCAAATAGCAAGTCACTGGAGTGCTGCAATCTGACAGCTCATGATCTAGCTTCATTACAGAAGATGCATGCATTCATTTAAATAAGTACCCTGTAATCTCCCAGCTGTTTTTGCAGTTCTGCTTGGTGATCATCTTCTATGTCTTTGCCTTGGTTCTGTTCCAAGAGGGGCAGGAAATGACGAAGTGTGGAGGTGCAGTACCTGTTCCAACGAGTGAGGTGCCTGGGCCTCCACTCCATAATTTTCTCTTTTAGTATCTTTTCAATCCTGCAATAAAAATTCAGCTATTTGTTAAGAGCTGTACATTAACCACTGCCAGTTCAAGGTAGAATTGTAGCTTCACAATCTAGTACTAGGGATTCTTCCAGAAAACTGACTGCTGCATTTTTTTCCAGCTAACTACTCAGGTTGTGGGGAGATGTTAAGGAAAGTAATGAACCCTTCACTGCTCACAAAGCAGTTCAGAGAATCAATACACACATAACAGCAGTAAGGTGACTGTGTCCTGGCTTAGCAAAGAACTCTCCCAAAGTCATATGCAGGAAAGTGAGTTTTGACCTTTGCAAATATTTTTCCTCTCCTTATAGTACTTTTATCTTTACCCCATTGTAACAGTCACCAGATACAAAAGGTTGCAACAGCTCCAGTGAACTTTCTGTCCACCTCAAAATGTGGGCAACACCTCCTCTAGCTAACAGGTGAAAAAAAGCAACCATGAGCACTGTAGTGCTCCCGAAGTAGCCACAGCTTCCTAACTGCCTTATCAGACTCAGCAGACCTTTGGATATAGACATGAATATGGGTGAGGCAGGTCATCGAACAGGCTAGATTTTGTAAATGTTCAGTCTTCAGTGTTGATGACACTCGCAGCATTTAATGTCATTATGCAGATGCTTGTAAAGTTACCTGCCCTGTAGTTCTAAAGCAGCAGCTTTGTCTGCCCGCTGGTAAGTTAATTCTTCAGGCTAATAAAAGAAACAAAGGGACTTAGAATGTGAGGATTTTAGTCAGCAATGAAAGCACAGAGCCTCTCTCACAGTTTTACACAAGTGTACCTTCACTAGAGGTATGCATCCCACCACGTATTGAAGGTGGTAAGAAACAACAGGCTAGCTCAGAAACAACACACGCAAGTGAAGCTAAATTTTTGTATGTAAAGAAATACATCCCTCTGTACAGTTGGCTTCAACGACTGATGCTTGTATGTCTGATTAAATACAGATAAAGCACTGTTTCTTTACAGACAGCATACTGCAACATGCAGACTGGAACTTGATTTTTTAAACATTTTAAAGACAAAGTTGACATCCCTCTCGATTTTGACGTCGCATGGTTTGGATTTTACTTGCGGCTGAGCTCAGAGAATGGCACAAATCGTACTTGTCCTCAGATCTCACGTTGGTGTTCTGAGGGCCATTTATCATCCATTCTACTAAGTAGTACTAATTGGCACTTGTTAGAAATATTGTACTCTAAAGACCTAACTACTGCATTCATTGTGGTTGGCCTGATGTATTAACAATCACATTAGTATCAAGTTTACCCTTAAATGGTAAGGCCTTAAAGACTTCCATTTTCCTTAAGCGTGTGGGGACTGTATATAGGAACAGGCATGTAAAATGTGAGAGAAAAATGACTCATCATAAGCATCATAATTGCAAATCGTTTCACCCCTTGAATAAGCATTAAAGTAATTGTTTTGAACTATAAATTAATCTAAAGATACAGAAATACCTGAACGCTCGAGAGGCCAGGATATGGTAAGCGTCTTGAAAAGAAAGGCTTCCATAATTTGGGTTTGCTGATGTCAAAATTTATCCGTACTGGGGAATCATATTGCTGAATATTGAACCAGATCTAAAGGAAAACAACATTGCTGTAAGTATTCTTCCAGTACTTTGGCAGGTAAGCACTGGTGACGCATATAAAGTGTTCCAGTTTTCAAAAAGGGTAATCACTATATTCCAAAGCTACAACAGGAATAAACTGGGTATAAGACAAGAAACTGTCCTGTATATTCTGTTTCACATCTTTATAGATCTATATATAGGTTAACATGTTACTATACTACATGTAATTACAATTTATTGGAATTGACTTAGGGTTGAAGAGTTGTCATACATGTTTTCAACATGAGATGAAAGGTGTAATGCTCAGAAATTATATCTGTGATGGATGTTATAAACTCTCTGAAGTTACTATTTTGTATTTATAATAAAATATTAAAAAGACTTTAGGATGTGCTACACAACGCTTTAAAATGAACTTTCTGAAACAATTTAAAAATAATGTAAACATTTGCTGTAGTCTGCTTTTTCTACATACGCCTTTCAGATAACACACTATGGGCGTGTCCCCATGAGCAGGAACATGCATGTCCCTGGGCATGCTGCTGCACATGTGCTCTGGCACATGGCGATTGCCCCGGGTGGGGTAGGGAGGCAGGTGCCAGCATGTGGACTAGCCCCAGCAGCCTTATCTGGGGGCCAACTGGGACTGCAGCAGCAGGGGTCCAGGCACACTGGAGCCCGGCTAGCAGCTGGAGCATGGCTCTGACCAGTCAGGCTCTAGTTGCACACACTGCAGCCGTGTGTGCTGCCCTGCTTTTTCTGCCACTTTTTTGATACCAGGATCTCCCGGTATCAACCACCCCTGTACACACTCACCAGCAGTGCAGCATGTGCAGAGTGTACAGTCTGTGGCACTGCAGACAGGTTTGCAGTGCTGCAAATCACACGTGCGCTTGTGGGGACATGCCCTATTTATGCTTTATCATACAGACATACTCCAGTGAACGTAGGAGTTGCCTGTTTAGCTTGGGTCACTGTTTTACCAAATCAGAGACCCTGTCTTCAATAGTGTCCAGAATCAGTTAAGTGCAAGAAACCCCATAATGGACAATTATGGAATAGCAGCTAGGATTATTAATCAATCATCATCCAATTTACTTTTGAGAAGCAAAAGAAGATGTATCTTCTTATTTTTTTCATCCTGTTTGACATACATAACTATGGACGAACTTATGGATATAAAACATTTCATCTTTTTTATCTCAGTGATGCATCATGGTAGTGTGTTCCATCAAGTACATGCTCTATAAAACAACTATTGCTTTTAAGGTGGTTAGCTTCAAAAGTTATTGCCCATCCACTTGTTTTTACATTATGACAAGGACACCTGGCACATCTCTCTCTCTCTCTCATAGTTTTCAATTCTATTTTTCATTTCACTTCTGGCACAGCCTAATATTTAATTTGGTCTTTTAGCTACCAGTACTTTGAGCAATGCTTTCACTGAGCTGTTTTGACATCACGCAGCTTTACATGCAGCTGGTATACTAAAAAAATGAAGTTAATCAAGGCTAGCAAAAAATGCAAGCAACTTCAGAAGGACCTCATAAACTAAGACAAACTTTCGACTGTAGCACATTCTTCTTAGGAACTGTTTAAGCCTGACAGCCTGCTGAAGTCTATCCCAACCATCCAGTTGGTACCACCTGCCAAACTTCTCTTTGCCAGTATCTAAGAGACACTGTACAACCTCTCACTTCACAAATACTCTGTCAGAAGTGGCAGAGTAGGTATGTCATAGATTTCATAGACATTAGGGCTGGAAGGAACCTCAGAAGATCATCGAGTTCAGCCCCCCGCCCAAAGGGCAGGAAGTCAACTGGGATCATAGGATCCCAGCAAGATAAGCATCCAATTTGCTCTTGAAGGTGTTCAATGTAGGTTCTTGAACCACCTCCGATGGCAGGCTGTTCCAGACCTTGGGGGCTCGGACAGTAAAGAAATTCTTCCTTATGTCCAGCCTGAAACGGTCTCGCCGTAGTTTATGACCGTTTGACCTCGTCATCCCTTGGGGCACTCTGGTGAACAAATGTTCCCCCAGATCCTGGTGGTCACCCGTGATAAACTTATAGGTGGCCATCAGGTCACCCCTGAGCCTGCGCTTTTCCAGGCTAAAGAGCCCCATGGCTCTCAGCCTGTCGTCATAAGGTCCGTTTTCCTGACCTCTGATCATGCACGTGACTCTTCTCTGGACTCTCTCAAGCTTCTCCACATCCTTTTTGAATTGCGGAGCCCAAAACTGGATGCAGTACTCCAGCTGTTGCCTCACCAAGGCCGAGTACAAGGGGAGAATGACGTCCTGGGATTTGCTTGAGAAGCATCTATGGATGCAAGCCAGCGTTTTGGT